AAATGGCTTACAAGTTCCTAGACCACACAGAGGTATTATACGGTGTTCTGATGAGATTTGTTCTTGCTGGAGAGACAAGGATAGCCCTGGGATAAGAGCAAGCACTTCCCAAGACCCTGATCTTAAGTGACATTGTGCATTTAGGAAAGCCTTTCCTCTCTTTCTTTTTTTTTTTTTCTTTTTCAATTTTATTTCCAGCCTATGAAGAAGATAACAAAGGATGGTATGTCCCCAGAGCACACTCTGATGTGTCACTGTGGATGCCAATCCCCACAGACTCTCCCGATGTTATTAATTTTTAAAACAAACTTGCTGATTGAGGTTCTGACTGCCTTTAAATTGTCTCTACAAGGAGACTGTGTACTAATTAACCCACAGAAACAATCAATGATGTACCTTTTTCAAGTTTCAGGGTGATTAGAATATGAAAATGAAGAGCACAATGGTGCAGATGTTTTAAAATCACAGCAGACAGCAATTAGTGACATGGGAACCAGCTGCTTATCTCTCCAGATAAAGCCTCTTAATAGGGAATTACACTTGAGGAGCCATTACACAGATGGATCTGCAATGATTTAAAGAGGGGGCGTTGTAGTATTAACTTTGATTTGCAAGCCAGATTCTTGACAAGCTTTATGTGTGTTACCTCCTCAAAAAGGTGCATTTGGAGTAGGGAGGGACCACTCCTTTAATCACTCAGATTTTTTTTTTCCAGGTGATGGGTTTCCCTAACTGTGTATTTTATCATTATTAATAGTTTTATTCTGTCTTATTTTGATATTATTATTATTATCATTATTATTATTATTTTATTAGGCTCTTGATTAGGTTGTTGTCATCTTCTCCTACTTTTTTTGCTTTGGGACTGGAAGCAGCATGTGGATTTAGATGGAAGCTCAGTCAAGGGAATGGGGAGGCAGACTGAGACATCCAGTAGTTAAATGAAGAGTCCCTGAGGAATGAATTCTGCTGCTGGTAACTATTTACAGAGTAGGGTGCTGCTCCTCATGGGACTGATACAATCTCGTCTCCCCAGCTGCAAGGGCTGCGTACCAGAATAAAACTGTTATGGGGACTAATCACCCCTTCAGGTGCAGGGTTTCAGAGATCTGGCAAGGCAGGTGTAAGCACACAGTGTAAAACCTCTCCTTCTCTCTGACCAGTGTTCACTAGTCACCAGGGTATGGGATGTATCCTGCTTATGGGTTCACCCACCATTACCAAAGCTGAGGGCTGAGGCACAGGAGTTTGTTATTCAACTCATATACTACTAATAAGAGGATTCAAATTTTGTTTTGTTTAGTCTAAGGTTTAGCATGTGCTGGATCACGTTGCTCAAGCTTCTTTGCAGTTAGGAAAGCTACCTTCTTCTTTGTGTGTATTTTATTTTATTTAAAGGAAAGACAGAATTATTAACCTACTAAACACTTCCAGTAAACTGCATATCAGGAGAAGTGTTGACCAAGTATAGAGAAATGTAGTAAAATTACATGGCTTAATTTACACTTCTACTTCCACAAAAGAAGGAGAAGCACATTCCTAGTGCAGAATAGCTGGCTGCAGAAGAAAATCCCATTTAATGAAAGGGCAAGCTACAAGCAGAGGCACAAGCGCTGAAGTTTGAAGAACTTTTAGGGCCTCATAAACCAAAGAGTAAATAAAGGTAAATCTTTCTGTTTTCATGAAAAACCCCCACTATTCCTGATGCTGGTCTTGGCTGGCTGCCACAGGAACTCTATTCAAGTCAACAGCCCCTTGCCAAGACCTATAGAGCTGGAGTATATTTCACACTTACTGACAAATTCAGTAATGAATTTGTGTGAAAGGCACCAAGATACAGGTTTCTGCCCTCCTCCTCCTGACAGCTGTGACATCCTCTGTCAGCTCAGCAGAGTCTTGGCTTAGCTGAGCTGAGGCTTGTTGGCTTTTTGGGATGGTGCTTGCCCAGCAGGGAAAATTGTAGCCTAAACATTAGGACCAACGGGATCAGACAGCAAGCTAGATGGGTACACAGGGAATAAAATACATAGGGCTATATTACTTTCAACTGATTTAGTAGTGTTTTTAGGTAAATCCATTGCAGCTAGTGAAATCCAACCTGCTGCAGCCAAACATAATCTGTGGCTGCTGGGCTGCAGAAGAATTATTTTTGTGTGATATGGATGTCTCTGGCAAGGTAGAGCCAGCAGTAAATGTGGTGCTGGAAGAAGTTTCATGAGGAAGCCCAGCAGACTGTTATGTGCCTGGGCAGATGTATAGTTCTGACATCCTGCTGAGGAAATGGAGTCCCCTGATCCTGCAGACTGGTCATTTTTTGAAGGCCTGTTGAAATCAGAGTGCTTATCCATGTGATTAAATGCCTCCAGAGCTGGCACCTTTGATGACATAGGCATATCTCTCTCATGAATTTTAAGATCGATGTGGTGGTGTCTCGTGCTGCTTGAGTAATGACAGGGCTATCATTAGGGATGTGTTGGGACTTGCATCATCACTATATAACGTGCAGGCCAAGGAAATGAGGCTGGAGGAGCCAAGCCATATATCAGCATTCATTGCTGATCTATAGCTGGCTTCTCTGTTCTGAGCCCTTATTAACTGCCTTAAAATACAGATCAGGCATTATTGCTCTTTTTAAACTATGGATCCCTGTGTGCGTGGTAGATATGGAAGGACCAGGGTGTTGCCAGCATGTCATGTTTTTTCTCACTGCTGTAACCCTCTTTCTTATCTTTTTGGTTTTGGGTTTTTTTTTTTTCCTCTTCCAAATGAAATTTTTCAGGTCATTTAGTTTCATGGCTCAAGCATCTGGGAAATAATGTGGGTGTAAGGAGATGCTTTGACTGCAGCCATCAGGCTGGGATCTGTTCAGAAACAGCCTGGTCTTGCCTTAGTGTGGGTCCTGTGGCCCGTGAGAGCCCTCAGCCCAGAATTTCCAGGGCTTTTTGACATTACAAATCAGGGTACCTCAGGAAGATGATTTTTTATATGAGGCTGGAATGGAAGGCAACCACTTCCAGCTCCCTGGGACCTCACCAGGGGGTGGCCATGTCCTACACCCTCCTTGTGCCCAGCTGACAGGACACCTAGCCTAGTGGCTAGGGGGCAGGAGAAGCCCCAAATGGCAGATCTCAGGAGCTTTGGGATCAGTTTAAAATAATCAAAATAAAAACAAGCTACACAACTCCAGTGCTGGGGCTCTACTGGTTTCCTTTCCACCCCTCCCTGGCCTCATCTCAAGATGCCCTCCAGGGGAGGGCATCAGCCTCCGTTGTGGCCACTGCGTGCTGCATGGCTCATGCATGGGAGGGCCACTGCAAGGAGGAGGAGGAGGAGGAGGAGGAGGAGGAGGAGGAGGAGGAACTGATTCACTCCCCAAGGGCTGTTTATGCTTTCGGCTCTTCTCTCAGGCTGAGGAAACTGGGTGTCGCTTGCCCGCGACATCTGCAGCTCCACCGCAGCTGCATGCTTTCGTTTTCTCACTCCACAGTTCCTGGAAATCTCTGTTTTCCCTGAGCATGGCTCGTCCATGTGCATGACAGCTGAACTATCTGCAGGATTTAAGAGTCCCTGATTGCTTCTCAGACAATGGACCAGAACAGCTTCGTCGTTATTGCCTATTCCAGGAAAGCCACATGTCCATTTTTATATGCACATGAGAGATAGCTCAACGTCATTTTGTCAATAACATGTATGTTTAGTGGTCACTACATAATGCACTGTGGGCTTGGGGTGTTTAGTCCTTTTCAAACCTCTCTGAAGTTGCTCAGAAGTAGGGACACCTCATTTCCCAGCTCAAAGCCCTCTTATGCTCTTCTGCTTCCTTGTCCCAAAATTTCTGCTGCAAACACCCCAAAGAGAGCTCTAACATAAGGCTTCTGATAGAAACTTACTTGTAAGAGGGTGTTTGCAGGAGCATGAGACACTTAGCAGTTGTTTTTTATCATTCTTTCCTTGGCTACGCATTTATTTTAAGTCTCCCATCATTTATTTGACATTAAGAACAGTGTCAGTACTTGGTACACCCAGTTCTGTACAGCACTAGGTGTACAAAGTCACTTGTACAGTTTGACCCAGAGCTTTGCAAAATAAAAACTCCTAAATGTAACATGAGAAAACAAGTCAATTAAAGAAAATATTTTTTTTTTTTTGCTTTTAAAAGACTTATCAAAAAGTTACAGCTGTAGTAAACAGAATTTCTTTAGCTGAAGGAGGCCCACCAAGAAAAAAAAGTGGACTTTCTTTTGCTCTGTAAGAGCCTTCAGCTTAATTCTGCCCTTGCTGTAACCTCTGCGGGTTGAAGAGCTCCTGTCAGATTAGAAATCATATTGAAAATATCTCTCACCGACATTGCAAATAGCAGATTATTAAAATGGAAAAGAAGTAATGCAAATCTTGAACCTGCCAAGTGGGCCTCACACACTTGACGCTATGCATATGATGTTAAGCACCAAGTTTGTGGGGATGGTTTCTATATGGAAATTCAAATAAATCTTTGAGGAATCGGGCTTCATAGGGAAGTGGATCCATGGGTTTTCCTCTTGTTTGTTACAACTTCTAAGATAATTTTTTCAGTTTTCTTGTTTACAATAATGAGTTTAATTGCTGTTGTTAAGCCTTAAGTTCTGTGAGGGATTATTTTTAAGGAAAAGAGAATTCTCGCCAGGAGGTTGAGTTGCACCATTCATCCATTGAAAGGGAATATTCTACTTATGTTTCAAATTAAAAATCAATAGAAGTGTTTCCTAGGCAATTTTGTATTTATAGAAATATTTCCACTGCTTTTAGAGTGGAGAAACCAAAAAAAACCTTGTTTACTGTGCATGAATCTAAATGCAAATTTGGCTCAAGTATAAGAACACTTTATAAAAGTTCCTAACTCTTACAAGGACATTGGTTAAGAACAGTTGTCATTCACTGCACAAATAAAGAGCTGCAACCGGGGTTATGAATAGACTGATAAACTATTTTTTTTTTTCTATTTCCTTTCTGCTACCTTCCAGGTTTATGACAGGCCACAGAAACATTCTGCTCTGCACTATGATTCGGGCCTTCAACAAGACTTCACCAGTGACACCTTAAAATCAAAGCACCAGCAAAAAAGTAGCAACCAGCACCATCTTGACTGGTCAGCGAGCCCCGATACCGGATCCGCTTCTCAAAGTTGTTTCATCAACACAGAACCCAGCAGGGAAGCAGTTAGTGCAACCAAGGTCTCTGCTCTGGAGCCAGGAGTTCCCTTCAGCAAATCCCAGGCCAAAAAGTCCTGCAGCAGCAGCAGCACATGGGGGCAGCTGTCAGTCAGTAGTAAAGAGCTTGGTATTTGCAGTGCAGTCCCGTCACCCAGCGGCATCAGCGTGGCCGCCCAGCCGAGCAGTGCCTCCGACTGCAGTGGGCTTTTGCCTCTTGGGGATCCAGAGGGAGGTGTGCAGCTGGAGGCCCCTGACCAGCCCGCTGGAAGTACGAAGAAGAAGTCCAACAAAAAGGACTTGATAAGTCAGACCATCCAAACCACGGACATGGAGTGGGTGAAGAGTGCCCAGAAAGCATTTGACAGCAAATCCCATGACAGCATGGAAGGGAAAAAGGAGTCTTACTCGATGGACAGCATGTTGGATACATCACCCTCAAAGCAGAATCCCATTTCTGCCAGCAGTTGTGAAAGTGACACCAGTCATGTACGAATTACTATCCCAATAAAGTCTCCGACGACAGATGCGTCTGGCCACAAAAGGAAAAAAAGGCAATCCATGAAATCTTCTATAGAGAAAACTATCCAGGAGAAAAGTCTGCCTTCTGTACTTACTATGAGCAGTGAAATAGCAAACAGGACTAGCTCTCAATCAGAGGCGAGTAAGAAAGATCTTCGAGCCTCAAAGCCAGGGAAAGTGATAGAAAACGAGTCCCCATTAGTATCTATTGACAGCAGTGTGTTCACTGACAAAGCTTCCCCCAACAGTGCCGCCAGAGTCAGAAAACCTCTAGCAGTGACATCCACTCTCCTGCCCACCGACCTTTCCACAGCTGGCAAATTATCTGAAGTCCAGCACCCCAAACACGCAGCTAAGCGGCGATGGACCTGCAGCAAACCTAAATCTATCCTTCGGGAGACCTCCATGACAACATCTGAGAAGCTGATGGTGGAGCCTCCCTCAGCCTATCCCATCACACCATCCAGCCCTCTGTACACCAATACAGACAGTCTTACTGTGATCACGCCTGTCAAGAAAAAAAGAGGACGACCAAAGAAACAACCTTTGCTCACTGTTGAAACCATTCACGAGGGAACCTCCACCAGCCCAGTGAGTCCAATCAATCGTGAATTTCCAGGAACAAAGAAAAGGAAGAGGAGAAGGAATCTGGCCAAGTTGGCCCAGATGGTCCCAGGAGAGGACAAGTCCATCAGTGAACTTAAGTTTCACAAAAAGGTCGGGAAGCTTGGAGTCTTGGATAAGAAGACCATCAAGACCATTAATAAAATGAAAACTCTTAAGAGGAAGAATATTCTCAATCAGATCTTGTCCTCCTGCTCCAGCAGCATAGCTCTGAAAGCAAAAGTCCAGCCACCATCTAGTGCTGGGCCAACCACCATTGATGCCAGACTAGGGAAGCAGATCAATGTTAGCAAGAGGGGGACTATCTACATTGGTAAAAAACGAGGCAGAAAGCCAAGGGCAGAGCTGCAGACTCAGCCAGAAGAACCTAAGACAGCCATCAAGCACTCAAGGCCTGTTTCCAGCCAGCCAGAAAACCCAGCAGTGCCTTCCAACCTGCAGTCACTTGTGGCATCGTCACCAGCAGCTATTCATCCGCTTTCGACACAGGTAGTGGGGACTAACGGCAACCTTAGCCCTGCAAGCACTGAAACAAATTTTTCAGAGTTAAAAACTATGCCAAATCTTCAACCTATCAGTGCTCTTCCTACAAAAACCCAGAAAGGAATGCACAGTGGAACTTGGAAGCTGTCTCCACCCAGGCTAATGGCTAATTCACCTTCCCACCTCTGTGAAATAGGTTCTCTGAAAGAAGTCACGCTGTCGCCAGTGAGCGAGTCTCACAGTGAGGAAACCATCCCGAGCGACAGTGGGATAGGTACAGACAACAACAGCACCTCTGACCAGGCCGAGAAAAGCTCAGAATCCCGCCGGAGATACTCCTTTGATTTCTGCACCCTGGACAATCCAGAGGCTATCCCATCTGACACCAGCACAAAGAACAGGCATGGTCACCGGCAGAAGCATCTCATTGTGGATAACTTTCTCTCTCATGAGAGTATTAAAAAGCCAAAGCACAAGAGGAAAAGGAAAAGCCTGCAGAACAGAGATGACCTCCAGTTTCTGGCAGACCTTGAGGAACTCATCAATAAGTTCCAAGTGTTCAGGATTTCCCATAGAAGCTATACATTTTATCATGAAAATCCATATCCCAGCATCTTCAGGATTAATTTTGATCACTACTACCCTGTGCCATATATCCAGTATGACCCATTGCTCTATCTTCGCAGGACCTCTGACATGAAGTCTAAGAAGAAGCGTGGTAGACCTGCCAAAACCAATGACACCATGACAAAGGTGCCTTTTTTACAAGGGTTCGGTTACCCTATTCCCAGTGGGAGTTACTATGCACCCTATGGAATGCCTTACACATCAATGCCTATGATGAATCTTGGTTACTACGGTCAGTACCCAGCTCCTTTGTACCTGTCTCACACGCTCGGAGCGGCTTCCCCATTTATGAGACCTACCGTGCCCCCACCCCAGTTCCATGCAAGCTCTCACATGAAGATGTCCACCACTGCCAAACACAAAGCGAAACACGGAGTGCACCTACAAACCCCTGTGGGAATGGGCCTTGGAGACATGCAGTCCCCTTTAGCTCCTCCAAAGGTTGGAGGGACGAGCCTTTCAAGTGGCCGACTTCACAAAAGGAAACACAAACATAAGCACAAGCATAAGGATGAGCGGATACTGGGGACACATGAAGATCTGAGTGGTCTCTTCGCCAGCAAGTCCACTGGCTTCTCCAGCCATACCATGAATGAAAGGCTGAGTGGCTCAGACAAAGACCTCTCCTTGCTCAACGAGAAAAGCAAGCATAAGGAGAAGCAGAAGCACCAGCATTGTGAAACCGGGCACAAAGGCTCAAAGAGTAACTTTGAAGTGGATACACTGTCTACATTATCACTTTCTGATACCCAGCAGTGGTCACAGAGTAAAGATAAAAACGACTCAAGCAGTGATCCCATTGACTCTTGCACAAAGAGATACTCTGGTAATACTGAGAGTAATGGAAGGTCAGAGTCCCTGGACATGTTTGGTGAAATGAATTCCTCAAGTGAGAAGCGGGACAATGATGCAAGTGGGAATAAAAGAAGAAGCTTTGAAGGGTTTGGAACTTACAGGGAAAAGGACATTCAGCCCTTCAGGACAAATAAGAAGGACAGAAGTACTTACGATTCTTCAGCCTCTTCAGGTAAGCTCTGCTTTATTCTATTTTACCTTACTGCATGTAAATTTCTGTGCTGAATGAAGAGGAACTCGTCATTTACAGCAAATATATTTATGAGTCAATAACTTCTCTGGGTTTTTGTAACTGACTGCTATTCTTCGTCCAAACCTTGGGGACGTCAACAGGGAAGTTGGCCACATCTTAAGCCCAAAAATTTAAAACTCTTTGAGATGTTACACAGCAGTTTGATAAATATTTGTCCTGCCTTCAGCTGTCTCTTATAGCGTGTTGTGCTTCCTCCAAAAGTCTCACCATTGCATTCTGCAACAACATTGGCAAGTTAGGCACCTGTTGGCAAGGTAGACATTTCTCTGATTGGTGTCTAATGTCTACCACATTAGACACCATGTGGTAGTTGCTGTCCAGCCTTTGGGAGAAGAGCAGACAGTCTCAGCTCTGGCCTATAAAATGATCAAAACCCATTTGTTGATAGGACAGACCAGACACGTGGGAAGTTGTGAAGCTCTCCCATGACAGGTGTAGTGTACTACTGATCCAGAGGAACCCATCACGCTGATGGCTGGGCTGAATACATGGAGATCTGGGTACAATCCTAGTGTAAATCTGTCACATCCAGTCAGTAGGTGTCATGTAAAGTAATTATGTGAGCATTGAGTGGCTGTGGGAAGGGACTGGTGTCATGGAAACAATAAACCCTCACCAATTGACTCTGAAGAGTTTTAGGTCTCATGACTTGGAAATATAAGCTGGGTAGATGAAGAGGGAGGACATCTGTTCCTCTCCTGCAGAGGGGGAAAAAAGGGAATCTGAATCTTGTCTGAGAGACTGAATTGTACTTTACAATGGGGAGCTGCTTTTGTGATGACACAGAGGCAGGTGTTTTGCTACAATATAAATGAATTTAGCTTGGGAGCCAGCCCAGTGCTCCTGCACCATCAGATATTTATCACAAAGCAGATTTCACACTTGGTTCTGGAAAAGGGCGAGCTTTACTGAACCAATCAGTGGTGGATGAGATTCTGAAGTGCTAAAAAAGAGCTTCAAAGAAAAGTAGTTCATAGCCTTCAAAATGAAAAGAGAATCAACTGAGAACACGGGGAGCAGAGAATTTGTATAACCTGCCAATGTAAGGCTCTAAAGTTTTTTATTGACTTGTAACTGATCAAGTTCTAGCGACTGCTCGTGCTCAAGCCACCTAGATATATCCATTTCTTTCACTGAGACCAGGATCTGGACTGTGATAGTGAAAAGCAGTCTGAAATGAGAGATCACACCATGAAAACATTTTCATTCATAATATCGTATTATATTAGATCAGTTGAGACACCCAAAAATGACACATCCAAAAATACTGGAAAAGAGACTGAAATCAGTCTCTGAGCATCAGAGTTTCTACGTGCCTGACAAAGAACAAAAATATTCTCCACCAAGTGCTGCAGTGGCTGTTTCATTAAGGACAATGCACAATTGCATTGTGTCCTAGCAGAGAGGATTAAAAGTCTTCAAGATGTTTAACATGTCTATTTCTTAATTTTTTTTAATGGAAGTTCACAGTTTTCACAGTCTGATAACAGTTGGATCTATAGCCTTTTTGCTTTTTGAGCAGAAGATGCTTGCTAAACCTGTACTTTCCAATTTAATGTATTTTACTTAGGCATAGAAAATTCTCTGTCAAAATTCTCAGCACTGTTGAACTTAAATGAGTTACCAAAGTAGAGGCATGACCCCCGGCAGGCTGACTTGAAAATAGACTTAGTAAAGAAAAAGTCCATTTCATGTTATTTTCCTTCAGTTTGTTCCCCGTGATGATAGAAGTGTAAAAAGGATGGGTAAATCTTGCAGTAGGAGCTCCATTAGATTTGCTGTTTAAACTTTTTAAACCGGTCCTCATTTAAACTAAAATTATTGTTTTTCTTTATTTTTTCCTTTTCGTGATTACAGCTGCACATCATTCCCCATGACCCAATCCATCAGGTCTCAGATTATTAATTTGTTTCTTCATTGTCATGCCATTACTTAGATGGAAAAATCATCAGCAGTTAGCTAAGCAGAGCCAGATAACCAGAGCCTTACCTTGTACTACAAGGAAAAGTACTAAAACTAAACAGCTCTGCCAAGAAAGGCCTGGAGCCAAGGCTGCTCATTAAAGCCTATGAACATCTGTCTGCTTCTAAGTGCCTAAGATCTCAGTGCAGCTTTATTTCCTCTCTGCATTTGACCTTCACTGGGATTCCCAACAGAGGTCCGCACTTGAGTCTAGCCATAACTATTAACCAGTTCCCACAGAGAGGGGATTACACTTTTCCGTGATAACCTTGACCTTCTTTCTCCTAATTCACCTTGCATTTCCCTGAGGTGGTTAAAAAGTGATTGACTAATCAGAAAAATAAAAGGTAAAAGAAAAAAGAAAGCCCTGTGAGAACATATATGTCTGTCCCAGGAGGCGACTTCCTGATTGCTCTTTCCTTTCTGTGTTTGTCATCTTTCACTGCGTAAAAATAATATGTAACAGAGATAAGAGGAGACATCCTGAATATTCAGATGAAAGCTGAAAATAGATTTATATCACAATTTCAGTGTTATCTTTACTGCACGGGCATCTCGGTATGCTCAGTAGTGCCATTTGCAACTTCATTGCTTGTTGCTGGAGATGAAATATGGAGCAAAACCTATCCACAGTCAGTAGATGTATCTGTGATAAGAGGGATGAGAGAACCATTTAGTGTTCTTTGGTGTTTGGGCATTGTGGTTTGTTTCAGTGTAGTGTGCAGATGCAGGTACAAACACTGTATTGCTGTTATTTTTGTGTTTTTATCTGTGTTGTAACAGCACTTAGCCATCTCTGAGAAATTTGGAGTTCCCTGGTGATATGTAGTGGTCTTGTATATGGCAGAAAACAGTGCTGTAGTACAGCCTTAAAGCCTATGTACAATTTTCTGTCTAGAAAGATATGGGATGTGAGGGGAAAGTTGTCCCTCTTACTTTTTGGAGAAGTAGATTGCCATCCTGGCACAAGAAATGTGCCTGGCACAGGTTGCCCGGAGAGAATTTATGGATGGCCCATCCCTGGAAGTTTTCAGGGCCAGGCTGGATTGGGGTTTGAGTAACCTGGTCTGGTGGAAGGTGTCCCTGCTCAATGCAGGAGGGTTGGAATTAGGTGACCCTTAAAGGTCCCTTCCAACCAAACAATTCCATGATTCTGTGATTTGATGTAGAAATCTGTGCCAAGAGTGAAGTGTCACATTGAAGAGTGCCACCAGCCATCTTGGTTGGTCAGACCAAAAGTCCACTCCCTGTCCTGCACCTGCTTGGACTATCACTGGGCATTCATTAGGGGAGACCTTGAGAACTTTGACTCAGTTTACATCTCTTGGAACCTCTTGGGGTTAAACACACCATGTCAATGCATAGGCAGTGCACTGCCTGTTTCTCCACTATTGTTCTGGAGAACCTGGAGTCCTTTCTATAAGTACTAGTTAATAACTCTTCTCACCTTCCTTTCCACCCACTCCCCAAGACCTGTTACATCCTGCTGTCTTTTTCTGAAATTGCTGGTTTTGCCAAATTTCTTGTTCTTGCTCATCCACCTCTCCTGCGTTTAGAAAGACAAATTAATCAAAACTGATTAAACAGCTTTTCTGTTTAGCTGAAGACTATTCCAGTGGCATTAGCCTGGCCTACAGGCAAGGATACAACAGAAAGTGTTTCAGATTCTGCCTTGCCACAGTCGTGATGTCACTTGGGCACCTCCTAAACTGAACTTTCAAGTTGCGTGCACCAAGCATTGGCTCAGTTGACTCCCTCCTTCCACACCCACAGCCAGAGGTATATCTCATGCATTTACAAAATGTTTTTAGAGTCCCTCTAGCACTCTGTGACCCGAGGCACTATGCACAGATGGATGGCTGAGGCTTTCATCTGCATTCTATGAGTTACTAAAGCTCCAGGTGAGGGACCCAGGGAGAGGTCACAGATTGGTGCCACAGCTGGGCTGGGGAGACTGAGATTAGAGCTTTGTTTTCATTAAAGAGGTCCTTATGGCAAACTCCACATCTCCTTGTCGTTTGTCTGCTTGTTTCACCTTCACACGTGGTGCTAGAGAAGAGACTTTCATTGCTGATGAGCAATCTCAATGCCATAGATCATACCTTGGAAAAAAAAAAAAGCGGGGTTCGTTAGCTCTTCGCTATTTCCTTGGGTGAAATAATGAGGAAGAGCACATTTAACATTTTAAGGTGCATAGATAAGATGGCAATTTGTATGTGCAACCTGTCAGATTATGTCCTAGTTACAATCACTGCGGACCAGGATGTAGCTGGAGGTGAAGCAGAGGTCGAGAGTCACTATATGCAGGACAGCATTTCTGCTTTTCTTTCTAGTGAGACTAATCAAGGTCTGTGCTACTTTGTTCTCACAGTATTTATGCCTCTTGTTTTTTTTAAATGATGATTATATAAGCAAAGACTGCCTTGCTTGCATACTGGGCATCATGGCTCAAAGATCAGCTAAGTCGTCCATTGGTTTCATCAGATACAGCACAGATACAGATCCACAGTAAATTCACAGGAAAATTAAGTTAATCATATGCAGCTATTAGGAAGGCAGTAACCATCAGTCTCTGAATGCTGGATAGTTTGCATGACAAACATGCTTTACAAATTAATGCTTAACTTACCTACAAGCTCCCCCCCCGCATGCCTTCCCCCCTCCATGTCCATCAGTGCTACAAGCTGATTTTTTCTGATTTAATCTTTCCTCCTCAGCTGGTTTGTATGGTGCTGGTTTTACCCTTGGAAGGATCAGTATCAGCTTTAGATGGAGGGTGGGCATCACTCAGTGAGTAGTGTGTGCCCTGTGACTATTGAGGGAGAAGAGAGCCATACATATTAAATGGACAAATAAATGTATGTTGTATTCTTTGAAAGGCATTTTACAACATCTTTATCTTAAAATTGTCCTTATTCCTGTTATAAAGCCCTGCATGATGAAAAGCCCTGGTGATG